ATATATATATATATATATATATATATAGAGAGAGAGAGAGAGAGTGAGAGACATTTACTTACACACAAATACCCTTGTGAAAGGTATGAATCCATGTCTTCTTCTCCCTCCAGCTATATTTTGAATAGTAGGGCAGACTGGGCTCTGTAGCCTTGGTTGGCAACCATTCTACCTCAGAGAGAAACGGCAACCTAATGCGGGAAAAATAATCTGCCTAGTCAGTCATGGATCGAAAGAAACATGATCGCCCAAGCGAGTATCACGTATGGCACTTAACTGACTGAATGATATATATATATATATATATATATATATTTAAAGATATTTTTGTAGGTACAAAATTTAATGATCGAAACAAAAGTATAAAACTTAATATTACGAGACATATTTTAAAAAAAACGGGCGAAGCAACCGGTTTCGCTCCCGCTCTTCAGGCTTCAACGGGAGATTTAAAATTCACACAGAAAAATGTACAATAAAAGGAATTGTAAAAAAAAAAAAAATTGATATATTAGTTTTTTTTTTAAATATGTCTCATAGTATTAAGTTTTATATTTTTATTTCAATATATATATATATATATATATATATATATATATATATATATATATATATATATATAGTGCTCGACAACATTCAACATCATCACTTGATAAGATACCGGAGGTGTTGAAAAAAAAAGCCTATTTTTGTAGTGATTTTATAACATATTTATGTTATAATTTTTAAATAAATAATTATATATATATATATAGTCATCCACAGACAGACTGTTTTGCTTTATCACAGCTCATCAGTGTGGTTAGACATCCAATTACTTCAAGCCGGTATCGAAATCCGACGGATTTGGCAACAATCGGGATTCTACCCACGTCAAGCTATCGTCGCACGGCAGAGAAAGGGTAATTTTAACGTTTTTAGTATGCGAAAGACGTCAGTAGTTAGGAGAGCTCGATTCTAGTAGAAGAGCATTGAATTAGCAGCTGCAGCCACTGTTTGTATCACCCTTCCTCTCGAGAGCTCAATCGAATTATTTCGAGAGCGTATATATATATATATATATATATATATATATATATATATATATATATATATATATATATATATAACAGATGCTGACCATAACAACAAAGCACTTTAACCCATAGCATACTTTATATATTTTATTGTATATACATATACACACTCCTCCACACTCACTCCACACACACACACTGGTCTAGAACCTTTCAGCACACTATCGTATATTTGTTTACATACACAGAGAAATACAAACATCACTCACATACAAAATATTTATGTAGAGTGAGAGTGAGAGAGAAAAAAGAGAAAGATAGAGAGAGAGAAGAGAGAGACAGGAAAGAGGGAAAATTTAATATATCATCCGTTATGGAAGCCAGTCTGCAGCAGCTCGTAATTCTTTCTAAACAAATTACAAATTCGCGCAGCCATAAGATTTGAGCGGCTCTAATCTTAGTCTGACATTCAGTTATCAGTTCAAGTATTTACCTCATTCATCATTAATATTTGAATCAAGCTGAAGTGGCGCCCTCTGGCGTTAGTCCTAACTGACGAAATATTATCATGCTCCAAACAGTAATGTCGATCAGATGAACAAGCTAACGCATAGAATAAACTTAGTCTGGTTCGGGGCCCAAACTATTGAGGTATCGTTTCTATGAAAGGAATCTAATATGTAAATATTTACTAATTTGTGGATGCTGGATAATTTCTTCACAGACCAACAGAAGAAGAGCGGCAAACGAAATGTAATTTTACAGAAGAATGGTGATTGACGGCGCGTGTAAGCAACGCGAAGTTTAAAGGATTTTTGAAACAGAAAGGTCACTTATACGTTGAATAAAGAGACAGTAGAAATGTATGGGATATATAACACGGAAAGAAAGCTTGGGAAATTAGACAGAAATTTCGAAGGCAAGAAAAACAAACGGAAATAGCGACTAAACAGTTTGCGTAAATGGATGACAAAACAGGCACTCTTGACAAAATAGGAATAAAGGACATAATTAGATGGAGGTAGTTGAAATATCTTGGGCAAGTAAGAGGAGAGAGTGCTTAGAGAATTTGGCACTCACAAGAAGTATTTGGAGATAAGAAAAACAGAAGGAGACAGCAAGAAATTTGCCTAAAGAGTTTGTGTAAAAGGAAAACAAAAAAAGGAAACGGAGATAAAATAAAAATAAAAACATTGCTAAAAGCTAAAAAGGATAGGAAGTTGTGGAGAGACATGACCGCCCTCGTCTTGAAAGGACAATGGGAACAGTAAGTAATCTACCTAAAGTGCTTCTGCAAATGGATGATGTAACAAGGAAAGGGAGGTATGGCAAATAGAGAAGCATTGCTAAGAGCTACAAAGAATACGGAGTTGTGGAGAGCCATGACCGTCCACGTCCTGAAGGGACAAGTGAAACAGTAAGTAATCTACCTAAAGAGCTTGTTCAAATGAATTACAAAACAAAGAAAGGGGGGTATAGTAAAAAGACAAGTATTGCTAAGAGCTACAAAAGATAGGAAGTTGCGGAGAGCCATGATCACCTGCGTCCTTAAGGAACATAGCACATAGATGTTAATGAAAACACGGATCCACAATAGTAGGATATCTTGCGAAAATCGGACATTTTATTGCCATTATAATTATAGTCTTTGCTGACTAACCATTATTCCATAAGAAGTTTTCATAAACGGCATTTACTAAACATAGCCTGATGTACCACCCAGTGAGAATCGAATTACTATAGTGATTATAGTGTTCATTATTTACCCCAAGCAAGGTAATAATGCCACTGAGACGCAAGGGGTTACTGGGAGTGGAAGAGAATGAGACGACTTTAGTGAGCAGAAAGAATAATAAAAGAACCGGTTTCAGGTAGACAGAAGATGGCGATTGGCATTGCATTTAAATGTTTGACGATTATAGGTGACAGGGAAGCAAGAAATGAGTAGAGGGTTCCACAGGAGGGAGGTGCAGGAAAAAGTAACTAGCAGAATATAACTTACGGTTGCATCTACTAGTTCAACAGTAATATGATGTGATATAGTTGCCAAAACAATTTTCTTCTTCCCTACCTATGTAATTTTGTACGTAGCGTAGGAAGATAATTATTAAGCGTAGGAAGATATTATGGTTTTGCCACGTCACACGGCATGACAACCTCTGCAAGACCATCATGCTAGGCTCTATGGAAGGCGGACGCAAGTGTGGAAAGCAACGCAAGAGCTGGCCTGACAAACATTAAATAGTTGACGGACATAACAATGTGGAAACTTCTGAGAGCCACGGCCAATTAATCAACCTGGAGGAAGTTGTCTGCTTCACTCAGGTCCCCTCCGAGGATTGGAGTAGTCGAGAAGCTGATGATGAAGAAAATTGGTCTTTGTTATATAGGAATAAATTGTCGCTGCCGACACTTGAGTTTGAACATCAATCGTCAGTGAGCAAACACAGGCGATCCCATTATTGAATTAAGTAGACCAGGTGATCACAGAAGAAATGAATATATGGGAGGTAGTAGCGTGACTTCTAACTGATCGCTATTTCTATTCTATCCTCTATTACTATACGGACCTCTATTCTCTGCTCTATTCACTATACTATTCCTCTATTCTGATCACTATACGGATTACTATTTCGAGCGAGTATTATAGAGTAAGTACTCTTAGTGCGAATGCTATATCAAAGGAGTCTGACACCAGTATTGTTCAACGGCGTTACTATAGTTACATCTACGATTACAAAGTCTCCACTACAACGAGCATTACGAAAATAACAACGAGTATTCGTTGACATTACAAAAGTGGCAACAAGTATTTGTTGACATCATAAAAGTCCTTTTTGCTTGCCACGGGCAGATTAATATTCTTATCGATTAACTTAGACAGGTAAATAGAACGTTTGAAGATACTTAAGTGTGTTACTATTGTGCTGTGTAGCCATTTTGGAGCTGCTATTCGCTCTTTCATGCCTTCAGGTTGGACAGGACATAAAAATGAAGCAAACCGAATTCGAATCTCCATTACAGTAAAGAAGAGCTGCTTAGATCGCTATGACGACTTTACATCGGCCGAAGGAGCCAAGGTTAATTTTGCCTTCACCCGCACTAATGGTGTGAGGTCCCGTATTAAACCTGACCTTGAAGAGTCGATCAAGTACTAGGACTATTATAATTATTACTTCCTTCATACAAAGAAAATGCCGGTATTATTGTAATTATTTACACTATTTACATTGTTTGGATTGTTGTCATCATCTTTGTTGCCATATTCACGACGTTTCGACCGTTGTACGCTCTGGACGCCTTCAGGTGATTGGAATTTCGAAACGAACCCTTTATTTCGTTCACCGGGGTAGACACAGTTGCGTTCAAAATATGTCGTTGGAACGTTCGCCCAGCCGGTCTGTTCTGTGTTCGATCCCAGCGGCTGACAGTTGAATGGATCACATCTCTCCAAGACTTGCCTTGTTCCACATTGTTTTTGATTTAGATCATAAGGCTGGCGGGGATCAAATTGTTGACAGGAATCGTTGAATTCGTCTGACCCAGACAAAGTGAAGCCACAAGTCATGGGATAAATTGTAATAAAGAAAATGTTTTATATACATATAAATATATGTTTCTTGTACAGAACTGATGGTACAATATCAGTTCTTCAGGTAGAAATATATGTTCTTAATGCAGAAATATATTTGTCATGCAAAGTCATTCGACCATTCCCTTCTTCGAATATTTCGTGACACTTTGTCGTGACTAAGTCTAGACAAGACATCTAGAACACAGCGCAAAGTCGGAGGTCTTATTTCGCGGCAGGAACTCGTGAATTCGGTTAAGCGGTCATCAGACCGGCTTCTCTCTCTGGTTGTCGCTTTGATATTCTCTTTATATGGACCTTCGTTCAAAACTGGCATGAAGTCTGACGTGGTTTGAGATTTCGACGATTCCCAAATCTCTACATAAAGTTCTTGACTCTGAGAAATTAATCGCATGCCCAATTTTGGAGAGATCCCTCCGAGGAGGAGGAGGAGCAGTGTTAGTATTATATCGATCCACCCTGACTTCTTCCTTCTGGTATTGGTGCCTCAAGGGATGTAGGCAATTCCTTCCTTAGTGTTCTGCTCAGGCCTTTCACATCTATGGTCATCTGACCAATCCAATCTCTAGACTGCATGAGCAAGCAGGCTTAGCTTCAATTATTAATTTTAATTAACGTCCAAACATCCATCAACAGGATTCCTCGTCCTCTTCTGCCAATCGGACACTCACCAGCTGTTCCCATGACAACCTCTCCTTGTTGCGCCTCGGTCCTTATGTAAAGATATTTCACCGCTTCAACGATTTACACATTTCATTCCCTTTTCTGACAAGTGATAAAAAAAAAACTCTAACTTTGCCTCCAAAAACCCTAAATATCACCCCTCGATCGAATTTCCTTGCCGAGTTATAACCAACAGATAATTCCATAACCTGGGTTTTAAAAACAATAGTTCCTGCATTTCGGCTTTTACACTGCCTTTCTCCACTTCTTTTGAAAAATGATAAGGAAAGAAAAACAATTCTTTAACTATGTCTTTGTTTTCAGAACACCATATTTTTTTTTTTTAATCTCAACCGACTTTTCTTATCGGGTTATGGCCAGCAGATAATTCCATAATATGAATTTTACAAACAATAGTGTCTCCATTTCATAGTCAGTTGTCAAGTTCGGCTTCATGCATTTTTGTGGGAAAAATCAGATGTTTCTGTCTTTCCCCTCTGACCAGTTTCAAAGGAAGAATAAACCCTCTGAATTTACTAAAATCTGGTCTCAACTCTCGGTATGTTTATCGATCTGTTTTTTAAACCTTAAAGTGTTACATCTCTCTTGATATAGCCATCGAGCTATCCTTTCAGTTCTTAAAGTGTCACATTTCTTGCTTACCCTTCCTGTAAATGACAGGAAGGGAAAGCAAGAAACGCCACGCAAATCCCCAAAACCGTTATTTATCATGCATCGTTTCTCTTTTACTATTTTATGCAGTACAAAAGTTTTTACTTTATCTTCATACCATGTAATGTTTTTAAGAGTCCTTTTTTTCTGATATGTCATGCAATATTTTTCTGTTATGTCATGCAATGCATTTTTCAAAGCTATTTTATTCTTTCATTAAAATGCAATGTTTAATTATGGGGTTCGCACCACCCCTTACCAATTATCTACTATCTATATCTCATGTTGTCTGTCTGTGTGTCTGTCGTGGGCGTTGTTACCTCGCCCAGGCCGCATTTCTCACCCGATTTCGATGCGGTTTTCAATACAAGTTTGCAAATGGCTGCCGTAAGGACATGACGGAGTCCGATTTTTGAGTTCGGAATCAGGTTCCGAAAAAATCGACAATCGAAAAAATCGATAATCGAAAAAAATTCTGCTTACAGAAGGAATGATCGCATTTCAACCAAATTTGACACCCTCTTAGAGTCTACCATTAGAAGTGTTGTCCAGAAGTTTCATGACCACGGACCCTAAACAGCGCGTAAAATCGATAAAACCCAAAACCGATACGCCCAGATTGCGTCTGAAGCGCATGTCGGTTTTAGCGAAAACGAACGGATTTATGAAGAGGCCATTGGGGTCATCATGTGAAGTTTCAACTCTGAGCGCCCCCCAAACAGAGTGCAAATCGACAATCAGGCAACCCTTAGAAATGTTTTTCCGGTTTTTTAAAGCTGATTGTATTGTGTTTATTTTGTTTAGTTCTTTTTTTTTTTTTTTCGTAACAGATTTAATGTTTACTATAGAGCTTAGAAAAAGTTGGCAGTGTGATATAGGCAAGAAGTAAGGCATGTAACAACATCAGCACGGCAAAGGGCACTCCTCTAAAGGCAAGGAAGGGCAAAAATATTTTAAGTCAAGTGATAGCGATTGCTGTGTTAGTCGTACTATTTTTTAATTAAGCGCGGGCAACGCCGGGCCATGCTGCTAGTAAAACCTATATATAGGGATTCTTAACCTCCCTTACTCTTCGTTTCAATCTATACCGTCTTTCTCTTCTTGTTTTATGGTTTGTACTTTTTGGTCAACTTTTTCTCTTCACAATAGGAGGTTTTGGTTTCTCTTTAACAAGTGTCGGCCTTGGTTCCATTTTTTCTGTCGGATTCAGCCTGGTTTCCTCTTCGTCTTGATTCTATCTGTCTGGATAAAGAACACTTCACGGAATTCCCTTCTCGAGTTGTTGCATACTCGCCAAAATATTATCAATCGATTTCTTTCTATGCCTTTTTAGCTTCCATACCAATGTTTCTATAGTAGCAGTTTATTATGACTTTCCATTTTTTTTCCAAATTGTACTCTTCTCCCCGAGAGTATCTAGTATGTCTTTCAATTGATCCAAGCTAATCCTCTCTACTGGCTTTAATAACTTCGGCATCTCCCTTAGGGTAACTTCAAGGAATCTGTCTACCACTGGCTCCCACAGCTCTGTCCAATTACTGAAAATCTTCTCAGTTATTTCCATAATTAAATTTTCTTCCTCATACTTTTCTTCGGCCTGATATTATGGAGGAAGGGAAATGGATATTTCATATGCGGAACATTCTAGGGATTATTAAGGATAATGGGGCATTCTGCTCTCAATGTCTTGGTGGATTCTCTTCCATATATACACTGGACAGGTCAATCTGCTTCTGGGCGGCTACTGATCAGACTCCGTATATTGATAGCTTGTGGCAACACGGCGTTTGTCAATATCTCTACTTGGCAGTTTTCCTTAATCCCCTCTCTATTGCTTTTAAACAATTCAAGCACACACCACCTGTGATTACCCGTCACATAAATGGGACTTAATGAGGTTCACATCCCTAAAGCATTAACCTGACACTTCCTTGCTTCTTTCGTCGCCAGCATCATAAATTTCACCGTAGTTGAATTCAAAGCTATATACTCCGTCTCAATTCGGTATCTCTCAACCGCCCCTAAGTCCTGTTCTACTCGGGGGTAGGGAATGGGTAAGTTTATTACTTGATATATTTCAAATAGCGCTTTCTCTGTCCAACAATGGAATAGACATCAGAACCAATAACTTCTTATCTTCTAACAAAGTAACGCAACCATGTGCATTGTAGTATTTCCATAACTATTCGGTGGGGTCTACCAGTAACCTCAAATGATGGGGTAATTCAGTCTGTATCCTCAATAATATTTCCTTCAAGTTACCCGAGGTCACTATGCTTGGTAACAAATGTCCTAATGACAACATATTCATTTGAGCTCTTACATGCTCTAGCAAATTCGTCAGGGATTGACCAGTCTGTCGCATCCGTTTAGTAATGGTCATTAATTTGAAATACAATTGTACAAAACCACTTAATTCTTATAATTCAGCTGTCACAGCCTCCGAATTATTAGCTGCTTCCTGTCTCAATTCCCTCAGCTTATCAACCAAGTGATATTTGCTCTATTCTTCGCCACAATCAGTACCGAGACACTTTTCCTTGCTACCTGGACTAAGATTCTATGGTTCTTTTCTATTTCTCGTAGTTTTCTTCTTATAACCTTGACGTCATCCTCAAACACTGTTCCAAACAGAACACTCAGCGCTTTTTCTGCTCTCTTTCTTCTCGTTTGCAGTAGTTCAATTCCTTTCAGGTAATTGCTCATGTCCTTCTTGCTGGGTCTTCATTATAGCCGCCTCCAATTCTAGGGAATACAGTAACCTGCGGTACATCTCTGCTCTGGTATACTTCTGTGCTACCTTTATCCTGGCTGCATCCAGCTTATTTATCTCACCCTCTAGTTTGTTCCGTAGTAACTCATATGGTTTTAAATCTATCGCAAATGTGGCTAACCATTTTGACTTTGTTATTATCACTTCACTTGATTTCTTGAAAATCGTATCCTGGCTGTGTTTCCAGGCTTCTATCATCATCATCATCATCATCAGTTTCTTCATACCGGCCATCCCTACAAGGGCAACAAGGTTTCCTTGTTTTACTTTTCTGACCACCCATCATTTACTTATCTCAATATTCCCTTATTCTGGAGTGTTTCACTACTGCCTTCATTTAATTTCGTATTTTCAACCTTTTCTTCTTTTAACCTTTTCTTAGATTGGTTTTAGACAGGTACGCGGCACTTTTGTCCTAAAGATCGTGTCTCATCGATACTAGAGCCGGACATACGGGGGTCGTTGTACAGACCAACGACACCACCAACAAGTAATTTCTTCCACTTTCCGTACTAGGCTTTTGAATTAACCAGACGTCTCAGTTCATATCTATCTATCTATCTATCTATCTATCTATCTATCTCATTCTGTCCATATCTATCTATCCCAGTTCATTATCTATCTATCTATCTATCTATCTATCTATCTATCTATCTATCTATCTCATTGTGTTCATATGTATCTATCTCACCCTGTCCATTGCGCACCGACACCAAATCGATCCATTCCATCGTTCACAACCGTATTTTTTTTTAGTGAGATTCGGGGTAGTCGGCCCCTCTCAACTAACTCTGGCTCAAGCCCCGACCTTTCTTCGTCCTTTTTTTGGAGTTGGGAAAGTTGATATCTCATCCTCTTCTTCACACTCACTCAGCTCTTCCTCCTTTTCGGGAGGTTTCGAGTCAGAACTCCGGAATTCATCACTGACGTTCTTTGCTTTTCTTAAAGCTCCACGACGACATTGGAACGGAGCAACGTCATCGCAAAGCCCTTTAAGCAACGACGCCGACACAAACTACGAACGAACGCCGCTGGCCGCTACCGTCGGACGTCGCGCTTGTACCTGGACCACAATGCTTTGTTCGCCGGTGAAAGGTTCTACTGACTGTGGACTTATTTCCATCTCTTCTTCTTACTCAGAGCCCTCATCTGTTTCCATTTCTTCTGGCCCCACAAGGGTTACTCTCCTTCTTTTTGCTTTTTTGCTCCGTGGTCCTGTCACTTTCCAGCCATTGATCTCGGCTAGTTTCAGGTCATTAGCATGAGCTCTTTTAACTCGCCCCGCCATGTGATGCAAATGACGGGGCGAGATTATAGATTACAAATGACATTGCACGTAGATAGACACCTATATAGGCTCATATATGCTCCCGTATACACACACGTTCAAACACATACACTCCATATACTCACATAACATAACCATGTGTACACATACAGGCAAGGCGTACGCACTCACATAATCTTCAACGTGCATACTCATAAGCACATACACCAACATACGTAAAAAATCTACACATTAATGCACACATGATGAATAAAAACTTTTTTTTTTACATAAATATTTATTTTTAAGATATTCTTCTTGGTAAAGGCATCTAATTCAACAATGAATTTTAATCACATCATCATTTGATCGAACGTCATACAGTAAAACTTTCAGATCAAAATCTGGCTAATAGTAATTTATTGTACTATCCAATCTCATAGATAAATATGAGCAGACTGGCATAGATGAATAGATAGATAGATAGATAGATAGATAGATAGATATGAACTTAGACATATAGGTATGAACAGAGTGAGATAGATACATATGAACACAATGAGATAGATAGATAGATAGATAGATAGATATGGACAGAATGAGATAGATACATATGAACAATGTGAGATAGATAGATAGATATGAACTGAGACATAGATATGAACAGAGTGAGATAGATACATATGAACACAATGAGATAGATAGATAGATAGATAGATAGATAGATAGATAGATAGATAGATAGATAATGAACTGGGATAGATAGATATGGACAGAATGAGATAGATACATATGAACAATGTGAGATAGATAGATAGATAGATAGATAGATAGATAGATAGATAGATAGATATGAACTGAGACATAGATATGGACAGAATGAGATAGATAGATATAGATAGATAGATAGATAGATAGATAGATATGAATAAAATTAGTTAGATACACAGATTTTTTCAGGCAATTCATCCCAAGTAAGTCAAGAGTGCCACTAGCACATATATCTAAGCGATGTAAAAACTATTTGCAGAAGAAATCTGAAGAAAATAAGTTGGTTGTCATGGAATGGCCACCCCAATCACATGACTGCAAACCCATCGAATTAGTTTGGGGGGAATTGGACCGCAGTGTCAAAAAGTGATAACCAAGTAGTGTAGAAACCTTGTGGGCGTGATTAAAAGAGAAATGTCAAAACATTACAAGTAAATATTTGCTTTCATTTGTTGAAGGATTGCCAAGAGGAGTCTCAGCAGATATTTTGCTAAATCTCATATTTAGCTTTTTTCATATTTTTGTTTTATTACAGAGTAAAAATATGTTACGTAATGAATGGAGTTATACATTTCCATTCTATAGAATTTAAAAGAAAATGTTTGGTGATCTGAAACTTTTGGAGGGTAGTGTATATATATATATATATATATATATATATATATATATATATATAGATAGATAGATACTAGCAGCATGGCTCGGCGTTGCCCGTGTTTGATTCAAAAAAATCGTACGACTCATACAGCAATCGCTATCACATCACTTAAAAATATTTTTTGCCCTTCCTTGCCTTTAAAGGAGTGCCCTTTGCCGTGCTGATGTTGCTACATGTCTTACTTCTTGCCTATCTCACACTGCGAATTTTTTTCTAAGCTGTATACTAAACATTAAATCTGTTACGAAAAAGAACTAAACAAAATGAACACAAAACGATCAGCTTTAAAAAAAAAGGACTCATAACTGGAAAAACCGAATGAAAAAAGAATGTTAACAACAAATACTTTTTCACACCCAACCCAGTTCTGCGGAATCAGAATCAACGTTGAGTTTAAGCAAGCGAATGAGCCAATTGGAGTAAAGTGCCATGCAGATTTAAATTTTTTCCACTTCGACTTTTTTTGCATGCTAGCATGTTCGTTTACGTTCGTGTCAGTCAGCTGTTGGCTCTCACGCTGGCCAATAGAATCTTCCTGCCTATTCGTGGCAGCCAGCTATAGGCTCTCACTGTGGCCAGTACAAAATGACCGCAAACTACATGAAAACTGCCGTAGAAGCATGAAAAAATCGATCATTTCCTCTATCGATGGGAGTTGGGAAATGCAAAGTCGGTCTTGGCCTTCCCGCTAACTTGAAGCGTGTGCATGTAAATTTTGGTGCAAATCCGTCGAAAATAGCAGCCGTGCATTCGTTACACATCCTGCCTTTTATAGATAGAGATATATACTATAACGCGTTTTGGGTAAATAGGCGGTCAGACTGTGTTCTATAGCCTAGGCATTGGAGAAGGACAACTTTGAATTCAAAACCCGTTGAGAGTCATTTGGTGACCTTGTGGCACGTAGTGCACCACGTCTCTGTGTTCGGCCCTTCAAAAAGTGTGATTGGTTCTGCACAAAGCCTTCACCACTTTAATCAAATCTTATGGGCTGGTGTCTGGCTGTCGGTTCCTAGGAACTGAGCTGTTTTTCACCTGGCCTTCGCATTAATTATTACCTTTCTGTATTGCTAGAAAAGGGTTTTGTGGTGAAAATTTTATCTACAGAAAATATGAGTTTGACGAAAACGTATTTTCATAAAAACCTGTGGAAGAAGACATCGTAAATAATGGCGAAATATCGAATAAAATGTAATTGTACTTTATTTTTTGAACAATGCAGTTGACAAAGAAATTTTGTATTACTCACCTTTATATATATATATATATATATATATATATATATATATATATATATATATATATATAAAATTTGAGTCATACATAATTTCATATATATATATATATATATATATATATATACATATATTTTCGATTATAGGTGCAGTTCAATTTATAATTACATGAATCATTCATACAAAAAACAAATATAGAGGTTAATGATTTAAATGGCGAGAATACATCTTCGTAAACAATTTCAATAAGGTACACTAACCCCGAACCTGTATATGAATGATATGATCCCTGTTTATAAATTCCAGTTTCATAAAGTCTTTTTTAGTTTTTACAAGCTTTCGTCTGTTTCTACAGACATCCTCAGGTATGGAAATAGATTTGTTCTTGTTTTTTACTTCTCGGTAATAAGAGAACGACAAAAATAGAGATGTAATCCAAAAATATGCTATGAGAAATGTGTTATTGTTTTGGAACGTGCGGTCGCAACGCTGAGTTTGAATTTTAAATTTTAAGGTTGTGCGTTTTTGTACAAATATAGCAATAAGAGAATTCTTTTTTTACTGGTAGATTTTCCTATGATTCATGTAATTATATATATATATATATATATATATATATATATATATATATATATATATAGGAATTGGATTAAATCCGTCATATTTTTAATTTATTTGTTTATATATTTCTAAAAAGATTTCTCGAATATTCAGGCCAGTAGATAAATAAATGCACTGTTTAATAAATAAATAAAAAAACAGGAGCATCTACTTAAATATGAGTGTCCATTTAAAAAATAAGCGATACGAAACAGAGCAGATATGTGTTCAAAAGCATTATTCAGGCTTTGCTTGATCAGGAGGACCTACGTGACCGAGTTGGTCAAAGGCCCATCAGATCCAATGACGGTGTCCTCACAGCTTCGAAAACTGTCGGTGTGTGCATGTTTTTCTGACAAGATTTCTCGAAAAATTAGGACGGTAGATGTAAATAAATAAATAGAGTGTTTAATAAAAAATAAAAACAGTGCATCTCCTCAAATATAATTATCCCTTTAAAATAAAAAATAAATTAATATATATATATATATATATATATATATATATATATATATATATGATAAAACATATAGTTATAAGGTATGTTCCATTTATTGGTTAAGGTGCTCAATATTATGGATAAAGCGTGTGTATATATAAAAGTGGACACTGACGTCAATACGAAGTGGCGACAGTCTGTTTCATACTTGATCGCAATCTTCAGACTATATATATATATATATATATATATATATATATATTCATCTATCGTTTTGAATATTCGAGAAATCTTATTTGAGAAATATTCGCTTTCAGGTTGCTAGACGAAGATAAATAAATCTACTGTTTAATAAAAATCGGAGCGTCTACTAAAATATGGGTAACAACTAAAAATAACATTTCAATAATAAAAATTGTATTGTCATTATTTTAAAGCCGGTTATTTGCTTGTTTTTGGCGATTCTCGCCTATGTAAATGGTAGAAATTCCAATTTGTAATACTTATTAGTATTTACGCGGTGGTATTAATTTTGCTGGGGGAGGGAGAAGTAAGTATAATTGTGGACTGATACGGTAATGGTAATATATATATATATATATATATATATATATATATATATTACCATACATATATATAATTTTTTTAATTTTTTTTTAAGCTTTACGCCCCGAGCAAGGCATAAAGCCACTAGGATGCAGGGGGTTGCAGAAGATTTGGAGCGAGAGCAGATAGGAGTGATAGAAGAAAGGATGAGGAGAAGGATAGTGGATAGATCAAGGTAACTGGAGATGTCGATTTACATTATATTTGAATAGTTGGAATTATAGCTTTCAGAAACAGTAATTGGGAAGGGTGTTCCACAGGCGAGAGATGCGAGGTATGAAGCTATTGGAGTAGAAGAGACGGCTACATTTAAAAGTTTCTACAGTGTAAGGGTGAGCGGGATGCCAGCCTTGTAGGGGCGCTTGAATTCATGGAGTCTGGGAACCAGTGAAAGCAGCTCATCGGAGCAATTACCATGAAAGTATTTGTAGAAAAAGACAGAGAGAGGCGACGGCGCGTCTGTGAAAGAGTGACTGTAGACGAGACGCCAGATCAGGGCCAATTATATTACAAATCCGTCTCTGAATCTTGTCAAGAACTCCGAGGTAAACAGAAGGTGCCCCAGTCCATATATAGCAGCAATATTCCATGCAAGGGCGAATGGTTGATTTGTATATTTGAAGTATCAATTCCGGGGAGAAACATTTCCTGGCGCACACAGAGAGCCAACTTTCCTCATGGTGGAAGAA